AAGCCTTATCTAATTTGTAGACAGTTTTTGTTAAAGCCTTATCTAATTTGTAGACAGTTTTGGTTTAAGCCTTATCTAATTTGTAGACAGTTTTTGTTAAAGCCTTATCTAATTATGTCGGTTTGAATATATATTTATTTTGCAAGTAACTGTTGTCTCATTCCAGGTACCATTCCTACTGGAAGCCATGGACCCGCCTCCCAAACCAGAAATGCTACCGGCAGAAATGCAACTCTAGCAAAGATTGTTGTCGTTATCACAATATTTGTGACAAAAGCGCTAAGATATGTTATGACTGTTGGTACGGTTTCCCATGCAGATCCTCACGTGACTGTTGTGAGAGATTTCCCCGTTGCAGCTCCAGAGCTAAAATGTGTACAAATTAAAATACACGTAAAAGCATGATGTCATTGAATCCTCGCTCATGAAAATAAATCCATACGATGCATTTTCTATTTTTGCTATGCCTTTTTGTGTCGAGGAATGCAATTCTTCTCATCTCAACATGACCCTGTTTTTGACGTTGACAGGTATCCCAAATATGAAACAGAGTATACACTTTATTATACCAAATTCTCTAGATCCATTAAATCAGACTTCCGATTATATCAATCTAATAGTCCATTAATTTTGTAAAACTTGTGGGGTTTTTCATTAAATATTTTGATTTGAATAAACAAGGTGGTGAGCTGTGTTATTTTTAAACCTTGTTGCCTAATAAACAAAAAGTTGCTTAATTCATTTATATCAAATACATGACATGCTGATTACGTAAAATACTCCAACTGACCATATATATAACACGTTTAATTTCATGCATGAAGCGAACGAGTGACACACCCATCCTTCGTGAGACAAGAAGTTAGACTCGACAATGACGAAAGCTTACGCAAACTTACAAAAACTATACTTTGTATCTAAGACTGCATTAAGTAATAAACCTGCAATAAGTGATAGATTCAAAAGTACACTTGGTGGTCAAAAAAACCTGAATTACGTGATGGACAAGGAATAATGACTTAGTTTCCATATGCTATGATATTCATTCCATAAACTAAGAATGTTTACACTCAAAAACATTCGTTAAAACCATATAGAATTAAATATAGGTTTGGTATTGATTTTGTCTTCCTTTTCTTACAATTGCCGAAGGTAAGTTTATTCAACTCCGAACAGTTTTAGCCACGAAATTAGAGAAAGGTTTAACTTCAATAACGTTTCGATTCTCTAGATCAGATTTGTTGAAGCCTTATATTTCCCCACACATAACTTCAAATGAAAAATGTATTGAATACTCTATGCTTAGAAATTACCCCTTACTACGAAACAGTAGATGAACCACAGACGCAGAAAGTCGTATTAAAAACAACAAATGGAAAAGATCAAATAAAATAAAACTTAGATTAAGAAGGACCTTAAGAGCTAAACATTTTCTGAATGTTAGAGTCTGGTCATCACTTTCTAACATCGTCAGAAGTGGTTATGTTCAGAATAAACCGGCCAGCGCAGGATAACAAATGGAGTTAAGGTTACATTTTTTTTCACAAAATCACATTCAGTTATTGTATTTCCCTTTAATCTACAAACCCAGACCGTGCCAATCCAATATTGTTAAATATCATAACTAAAGTCTGCACGAGAATACGCGTGGTAAATTGAAAAAAGGAAAAACCAAGCCAGGTTTTGTAACTCATAGAAGTGAAGACAAATTCGACCTAAAGCAGACTAAATCAGCGTCGGTTGTTCAGTTTTTAGATTTAATGAGATAAGTTAAAGATTATTAGAAATAATTTCGCTGACAATATTCACATTAAATTCATCAAACTTACCAACAACAGCAGACCGGTCTAACTGTGCATGATTTATTGCTGTGGGGGAAAATCAATATTAAACTGATACATGTACTTGAAATTGACATCATACTAGCATCGAAGCTTGAGAGTTTAAGCGTGTGATGGACACCAGTGTGTTAGTTAGAGCTGTGCACGGCTCCATGGTGTACCATTAGCCTTTAGGACTACATGGTGGTACCAGTACAGGTACTAGACATAGTTCAAATTAAAATGGTGTCCATGTATCTCCTTCACAATGTTATAACTTAGGTACACTTAGACACACCAAATACTGCAAATACAAACAGTCACTTCCGTTGTATTGGTTTTTGACGATAGCATTTTGAAAAGTAGGATTGCAGTGTTTAAACAAGTGGGTTCACATGAAACTACTCTTCAGGTTAACTTCGTCTAAATTAAATACGTCATTTATGTCCGTTGTACCTTTTGAGGATGAGGGTGATAAATCTAACTTTAAAAACTTCATCATGATTAACACTTTTTCTAGCTATCTATAAATTGACTAAGACAAGGGAACAAGCCCTTGACCACAAATGGTTCGTTACCTTTATGTTCAGCCCTTAATTAAACCTATCGACTGAAAATGTTGTTTAGATTCAGTAAAATGTAAGAACCTAGAGATTATTTTCCGTTTGGAAACTGTTCGGGTCTTTCCATCTAACTGTTTCAGTATTCGAGCGAATGAAGACGTGACGTCAAATTTACGACGGAAATACCCGAGTTATTTCCGATTGACGTAACTGGTTACCTTAGAAAAGAGTATATTGTTCCTGCAATAATGATTGTTCCGCCATTTGGTAAAACAGTTTTTTTTTATATATATTACATACTTTAACCAAACGAACGCTTAAAGACCGATGGAGTTATTTTGTGTTTGTTTTTGTTAACATAAACATCACGACTAAAATGCACTTATTTAATTAAATTATCAACTCATTATAGACCTGCTCATGCCCTAAGACAGGAAAACACCCATATAAGATAAACGTTTTTCTATTGGTATATATAAGATTTAGCATTACGCTGCAGCAGTGTCTACTGGCTATACCCTACAGGGTTTTATGCTATTTTATCAGCAATTATAATGCCCACAACCCAATTTTCTGAAACACAAATAATTTGTATTTACATGAGAGTAGTTATGATCTATTCAATGATTTTAGGATCCTAACAATAGCGGTCCTTGATGAATTATGTCATATCGTTGAAACACGTCTATCCATTGTTGACGATGTAATGCCGATCTCATTAACTTTGTACTTTGAATCCTGCGGTACTGACCAGTGTATTTCATCCATAAGAGAAAAACAAACAAGCGCTGTTGGAGAACAGGAGACCTCAATTATTTGTGGTATAGATTAAGTTAGTAACTAGCAATAGAAATGCATGTATCTAATAGTATAAGTTGCTAAACTGGTATTGTTATTTTGAACATCACTTTAATTTGTTGTTGTACAATACATGTACTCATTCAAAATATGGGCTAGACTGAAATTGAAGTATTAATATTTAGTTATACATCCGAATATTACAATATATTGTGACAATAAAAGAGCTTAATATATTTTTCATGAAATTTCACGACATCATAAAATGTACCACACCAGATCTTAACACCTACCATGTTTTACTAACAAGTTCTTTTATCCTCATTATATAAATTTCATTATTATTATTATTATATTGAATCGAAAGTTAACCCTTTTGGCCCCCAAAATATGTAAATAGGGTTCAGCACATTAGCTTGAAGAAGAAAAAAAGAAAAAAACTCTCATAACCCCTCCTTTCTTTCCGTTTCACAAAGGAGCCATTGTTTTTTATTATTATTAATATAGTGAAAATTAAAAACTACATTTGTAAGCAAGATATTTTTTCCCTCATGGACAGGGAAAGAATAATGACACTCCTTAAACTGATATTTTATTGAAAAAATATTAGCATATTGCAATATTGAGAAGCTATTAATAAATACTAAATACTCCATTTTAGGCTACAAAATTTTTTCATTATCTGGAAACCACTTCTACACTGATTTGAGGAGGCAAGCACAATATCCCTTTCCTGATTGTTTTAAAACGGCTCCGTGTTTGTATTCATTAGGATGTTTTTAAAAAGATAAGTCGTTTTTGAGAAAAATATTGATGAAGAAATAGAAATCTTTTTTTTTTTTTTTTAAATGTATTCATTATATATAATTTAATTCGATCTCTAAGATAAAATTACTTAATCGATGCAGTCGTAAAGTTTGATTAACTATTCCAACAAAATAACACTAAACACATATTTAGCTTTTCACTTCAGCTCTCGTTTGTGGTCTATCAAAAGCGGCGGGTTTTTTAACTCAAAAAACGTAATTGGTTCAGAATTCACTTTGGTGTAATTTTCAATAAGGTTTGATTTGACACTAGCATACACAGGCAAAATCGTCACAGCAAACGTGTTGCATGTTGAAACTAATTTGATTTTGACAATGTAATAAACATTGGGTCAGTAGGAATGAAATCTAATCAGCGTTGCCTCCAAAATGTCTGTACTTTTGCAATCGTTCTAGGTCAACATGCAGAAAATCACTGGGTGAGCCTATTAATTTTATTGTATGTGAATGTTATCATATGGTTAGATTTGCAAGATTGACCAATAAAATTTGCTGTTACAATGCAGACGTGACAGGGTGTACTAGGACTGTTACATTGCTACTACCAGGTAAGGTAGATCGTACTTACAACATACACAAGAAGCGTTTCTCTCTTCATCGGAGAAATAGACTGATGGGGGTATATTATGAAAGAGACTGATGTACATAAATGGTGAGTGAATTTAAGTTTTACATGAACACGTTCGGTTTCCAAGAAACTATATTTTGCCGGATAAAACAATAAAATCATAATAAAATACAAAGAATGATCTATTGAAACCGAGACTTCTCTAACTGACAGATGTATTTCTCATCATGACCTCGATATGATTATTACAGAGGTAGGACCTAGATATACTCCATGAAGCTATTTGGAATTATATGAGCCACTGCACGTATAGAAATACTAAATTCCACTCATCCTCGGTATTACTATATTGAGATTTTTATGGTAGAAACCTCCGCTTATATCCAACGCACCATTTATGACTATATTTCACCGGAATAACTTTCAAAAACAATCATATTCCTGCGTTTGCTTTGGGAACGTATACAAAATTTACAATAACTAAAACATCAGTACAATAGATTTATTGTAATAAAACAGAAAATGGTACAAAATGGTACAGAAACTCCAAGAAACATTACAATCGTTATTGCCTAAGCAAATTGCATAAATTGAATTTGCAATATGTTCTGCATATCAAATAATCACGTTCTTAACTTTATTTAATGGCACCAGCGGCATGAAAATAAAAATACATGGACCATCATAAACAGTTTAGCCCGTAGTAAAGACAACATTTACATTATGTAAGTTGAACAACTTGAATATTTAACAGTACTTATAACGTAGATGACATTTACTATACTGTAATGTATAGAAAGTCGCATGTGCATTGTTTGTAGACACGGGGCCGAAGCAAACGAAACAATAATTATCCTAAAGATTCCTGGTCTTGTATCCACGCATTGACAATACATTTACTGGTACAGCTGACATTATCTCGAAATGAAAACATCAAATACTTAATTAATGATTGGCCTCATTTCTTTAGACATTTTTCATTTATTTAAACAAGATACATTATTATATAGCTTTACAGCACAAAAATCAGCAGAGTCAAACTATAACTTTATCTAGTGTAAAAACAATGCACTTGCAATCAATACAATACTAGTAAAAAGTATATTTAACGAGGATTTGATTGACGTGCCCTTGTTACCATTTGGGTTACGCGAGGTTAATGGGTGATGTGTAGATGACACATAGTTCGTACATCCTCCCAATGACGTGCTAAATGTTGCCTGGCCGGACGGTCCGAGCTGACATACATAGTTCTTGACCTGGTTTTTAATGAGGAAGGACATCTCCAGTTCCTCGTATGGTACCCCGGTCACGACTACATCAACAGTTGTCTCCCCTCGCACCACCAGGTTTACACGCTGGGGAGACATGGGTACCCACTTGTTTATCTCGCCTAAAACACCAATAGTAGTTCCATTCCTGAAAAATAAGGTTGTAGCACGAATTATAAATGACATTCAATATAGAGAAACAAATATAACAATATGACCATCTCAATTCACATTGTCTTCGAGACCCTTGCGTTTCTTAACTTCAGTATGCATCACAATGCTCCATTCACGTATCAAATGGTAGCTCGGCTGCATACCATGGGTTTAGAATCCTATATGATATCAAATGTTGAAACAATTGTATCCATTAAAATATCATATTGTAACAAAACAATCCCATAACTTATCTTCGGTGAATTATAACGCGGCGAATCACTTTGAGAAATTTGATCATCGAACACCATCGAACTTACATGAAGAAGACAGTGGAAAAGTAGTAGAGACAGAAGTTCTCGTCTGTGCAGCCTTTCAGATGGAGTGGGTTGTTGTTATCAAACTTGGAATAGTTATAAACATCAGTGTACGAGAACACTACCCCTGAAGAAAGCTGTGGAATAAAAACATTTTATATCTACAAATCAAATCGGAATTACTACTTTACTTGCACTGTGTTGTGTAGTGCTAGATACATAAAGTGTAGAAAACGGAAATAACGGTATGCTGAACTCGGTTAATGAAAATTAAACATGTCTTCCCTGGAGGCGTAGACTTCTTTTTAATCAATTTCGTTTTCAAATAACATTGCTGTGCTATAAACTGTTTGGTAGACTAAGCCGAGAGAAAATGTAAAGAGGTAAAGAGACATCCATGCACTACTGTTATGAAATTCCATTCCTTTATTTTTTACCATGCTAGGACTTGTTAAAGCTTTAGAGATACGTACATAGTAGATCACTCCAAAGATATCCTGACATATTGTTTTAGGCTTGTTCAGTGAGTTATTGCACCATCATGTATTGCTATGTATTCACAAGCCTTGTATGGTATTGCACGAGTCATTTGTTTTCGTCGTTGTTATTGCTTCACGGTCTGACAAGAGACTAGGACAGTACATGATAAGGTGTGTATCCTAGCACAATGATAGGCACAGTTAGACCTCCTAATACATTTTCAAAACGTATATAATACGCATGGTATAGAAACATAATATCTCTAAACTAAAAATAATGTGTGTCTAGATGATAAATATTATCATAAAAACTATGAAACGAAGATTTAATTATAATTTGACAGTATTCATATTACGATTTATATATGCACAACGGTACAATAGTGCATTTGTATTGGGGAAATTTGATCCATGAACGAGGAAAATCGTAAAACAAAACCATTCAGTTATAGAAATGGGACAAATCCATCCGTGTAGAGAAACTTGATTTTTCGCTAGCTTGCAAACGATGTGACAAAATACATAACAGTAATTTAATCAACTATATTTGAAAGGAAAGTCAACTCTCATTTCTCTCCGGAGAATTCATTTTAATTCTGCTACATACCATGCAACAATAAAATTAAGATAGCTCTCTCCGTCGACTAGTAACAAATTGGTCCCCTTCTTCGAATGACACTAACCTTTAGTCCTGATATTGATGAGATAAGTGTGTCTAGGACTCGAATTCTAGCAGTAAATTACAGCAGGGCTTGCAAGGAAACATACTAATGTGCATCAAATATACAAAATGTTTCGTCGAAATGAATTTATTTATTTATTCGATATTTGCTTCTTGGTGTTATGTTACGAAATTTATTTTTCGGATCACCAGTGTTCCGGATTGTTGGAGACCTATCACCATTGTTGCACTGCATCTGCTTTCCCCTAAAAGTGTAGCTGTGTGCATGATGTATTACCGTGTCTATCTATACTTGTTATTAAGCATCAGCCCCCCCACCCTCACCCCCACCCCACCCCCACCCAAATCAACAAGCATTAAGCAGGAAAACAATAAAACAATAGCAACAGCTCACGATCCATTTCTTTCTTCAATACCACTAAATACAGTGCAATCATATACATTAAGGATTAAAGTCACTGAAAAACAGGCTATATTTATAATCTAATTTATCATCAACTTTGGGTGAAAGTCACATAAAAAGGCAATATTCTTAAAACAATTCAATAACTAGCTATTGACGGATTATACATATTTATTCAATTTGAAAGGTATTACTTCTGTGTTATTGAAAACAAACAAAAGTGTGAATAAGACATTAAATTCTTCCAGTTAGCATCCATACTAACCAGCACTAGAATACCAACTGAACAGTTAGCACACATACTCACCAGCACTAGAATACCAACTGAACAGTTAGCACACATACTCATCAGCACTAGAATACCAACCGAACAGTTAGCACACATACTCACCAGCACTAGAATACCAACTGAAAAGTTAGCACACACACTAGAATGCCAACTGAACAGTTAGCACACATACTCACCAGCATTAGAATGCCAACTGAACAGTTAGCACACATACTCACTAGCACTAGAATACCAACTGAGCAGTTAGCATCCATACTCACCAGAACTAGAATACCAACTGAACAGTTAGCACACATACTCACCAGCACTAGCATACCAACTGAACAGTTAGCACACATACTCATCAGCACTAGAATACCAACCGAACAGTTAGCACACATACTCACCAGCACTAGAATGCCATCTGAACAGTTAGCATACATACTCACCAGCACTAGAATACCAACTGAACAGTTGGCACACATACTCATCAGCACTAGAATACCAACCGAACAGTTAGCACACATACTCACCAGCACTAGAATGCCAACTGAACAGTTAGCACACATACTCACCAGCACTAGAATACCAACTGAGCAGTTAGCATCCATACTCACCAGCACTAGAATACCAACTGAACAGTTAGCACACATACTCACCAGCACAAGAATATCAACTGAACAGTTAGCATCCATTCTCACCAGCACTAGAATACCAACTGAACAGTTAGCAAACATACTCACCAGCACTAGAATGCCAACTGAACAGTTAGCATTCATACTCGCCAGCACTAGCATGCCAACTTAACAGTTAGGAATAGAAAAAAAACAGGTTAAGTATATAAAGTGTTTAAAGAAGTTTAATTTATGTAATAACAGCAACACGGAAATTACCTCTGATGGGAATCCAGTCTGATTTGGATAGATGAGATAATCAGACGTCATGTTTGCTGCAAACAGGATACCGAAGTAAGTATAAGGTGATTGGTTCTGTTGTTTAATCTTAGAATAGGTAGTCCATACCTCTCCGACAGGCCCGTCGACGCCCGGGAAAGCTCTCTAAAGTCAGAATTTAAACCATATTACAACAGAAAGCGTCATGTTAAACAAACGTTAATGATCAACGTTAAGTGATTTAATATGATACATGTGACATTAATGACGTTATATAACATGATATATTGGACGTTAAAAGATATGTGTGAAATTAATGTTAAATGACACCCCCATCGATCCATATACTTCACTCCTGAACCGTTCGATGCTAATGTCATAACGTGGTTAAATGGACTTCCGCCGGCATCTTCCATTGTGACGTCATGATTAAAAGCAATTATTTTCCTGATCGGAAAAAGGGTATCATGTATTTTCAAGTAAAGCATGAGATTTTTTTGATATAACAGGGGCATACAACATGATAGTGACACTAATTTTTTTAAATTTGTATGGTCATTCATTCCGAAGTAATCATCCCGAAAAGCACAAAAAACAAAATTCTATATGAAGCAACTGTGACCTTGACCTCTTGCAGATCATGCCTAAGATCCATAGGTGTCTTGGCATCAGCATATTTGTATATATGTATGGTCACATTAACGCTATATGCCTATCTGTATGTATATAAATATACATATAGGATATCAATTTTATCTTCTTGTAATATGATGTATATGTACATGTAACTGTTCTGTTTCACTGTGTCTTGAAAAAGAAGCGGATCGCTCCGAAAATTTGACAACCTAAACTTGTCCACACTGTTGGAATTACTTCTTTGCCCCATATATATATACATATATATATATGGTCACATTAACGTTATATGCGTATTTGTATGTATGTATATATACATATGTTTATATGGTCACATTAACGTTTCATGATAGTATCAATGTTTATGGATATATGTTACGTTGATATAAATGCCTTTTTCCTAACAGAGTTTCAAACTATTTTAGTGTGTAAAAGGGAATTCAAGATAACATAAATGGTACCACTGCATCACTTATATTAAGAAGAGTTCCACTCTGGGCTTTTTTCGACTTGGAGTATTCTCACTTTTATATCGAAGAAGAAGAAAGCCAAAAGGACATTGTACGGCTTTTAGTCACTTCCCCTGTCAAGTTTTATATGGGTTTTGTGGCCTATAAATTGGATACTAATTTTAAACTTTGCAGTTATAAATACTAGATGGCAACAATGGTAAAGGGTGGTTATTGTAATCTACAGCTTTCTATCTTTGTTTTTACGTTTTCTATTTCTTTTTTTTAACTTTTATTTTCTATTTCTAACAACTAAAATTCTGTTAAATTTATTCCATTATGTGATTTTCATGGAAAACTTCTTTTGAAAAGGGCTTAGAAATAGAATAGTTGCAATGCATAAAAAATAGTATATTAAAAAACATATTGCATAATATGATAACATTTGATTCAAAACTGTGATCTAGAATATAATAAGGCAGACAACATTAATACAGTAACACTATGTGTCAGGTAGCACATAACATGACTATAACGCTTGTGACGTCATCGAGAACCATTTTATTTTTCGAAACAATAAAATAATAAAAGTCAACTAACATTACTTGTGGGTTTTGATCCGTTACAGAGGTTAGATACTAGATTAAATTATTGTCTCTTTTGATTTGCAGAGATAATTATCAGTAACATATTTCAGTAAATGTACAATAGAAGGTCGATTCCATCACACTGTTAATTTTATTAATGGTAATTGGAAGTTAAATTCCATGATAACCATTTAGTCATTCATGGTGTTACCTTACTCGTTTGCATAAAGATTTATTACCTTAATTAATTGCCGATCAATAGCTTTTGCGGGTCGAGATGGCTTCAAAATAAGACCTTCGTCGTTACAGCACCTGTTCAGAGTATTAGTTGTGTTAACCAATCAATCCGTTGTATGGGACATCATGAAATATATCTTCAAAACATAATAAAGTTGCACAAGGTCTGAAGGACGAGTGTGCCATCAAGTTACAATAACGATGTCAGTTCTACAATTTAACACGGCATTATTTTGCAACTAGAAACTTAAATACAATTCAATAAACACTGTTAAACATGTATATCAATGGTCAATTGGTAGAAAAACAATAGTTTACTTTTGAATCGCATTACAATGAAAACCGTCACGGTATCAACGACCGGTGTCCAAACAGTACACGCCCACAATTTAAATGTTTGTTTCAGCGATTCACGAGAAGGTCATCGTCACTCTCAACTCGCCACTCAGTCGCCGATTCGTACACTTTTGATACCTACTCTGATTTCAAAACATATATCAGTATATATGATGAAGATAATACCTGAGCAGAACTTCTCTATTAGTGGCGTTGAGTTTATCGCCCGGCCCGACCGGCCCCTTACTGAGTGTTGATACCAGCGACTGAAGGGCTGGGTAAGGTTCAGTTATATCTGTGATAACGGATACATACAACGACATCAGTTTAGCTGAAAAATCATTTTTAAATCCCCCATTTGAAGCGAATTTTGAAATATTTCATTTATGAAAGTTAAAACAAGACTCTTTCCAACACAATTATTTCCCTGATTGATTTCTTTATGTGCCGGTGTTTTACGGGACGAGGGGGGTCGAAATAATATCTCTCAAGAGTTTCACATTGATTTGATTTTCGTTTCCACTTTAAAAACCTTAAAAAAAAAGTAAAACTGACAATTCAAGCTTATATTATACACAAAGTTTTATATTTGCCTTGTTTAAACATCGCTACTTCTGGGAATCAATACAGAAAACCAGATTACATACAGTGAACGTAACATGTGGGAGAAACCTCCAGGTTACTGTCAATTACCGACCACTCGCCTGTAAGTATTTGGATTGGAAAACACCATTTCGCGACAAACTCTCGATAATTTTCTCGGAAATTTGCAAGTGCATACATTACGTGTCTTTACTTAATTGATTGTCAGTATGCTGTGTAGTTGAGTTTTACTAACGTGCCCGATTGTGAGTATTAGGTAGATAAATGACAATGTAGCCATTCATTTGTACATATACCTTCATTGTTCTCAAAAACCTAGTTTCTGTGTTGCACTTGATTAGAAGGTTTAAGCTTTATATATTACCTAGTTTATATTTAAAGTATGAATAAAGTCTATTTGTCATATGTGAAACACTTGAATAACACAGTCCCACTATGGCACTGTAAATATTAATGAATTTAAACTGCACTGCCCTCTTGGAATTAGATATAGTCGACATCTATAGGTTGTATTTACATCACTAACATTGTATCTCTTTGATGACATGTCCTGTATTAGTGCAAGATTTTAGATATCATTACTATAATAATACGGAAAATTATAATAGTAATTTGAAATCTAGCTACAATTGATTTGTATTTGTGTAAACCATACAAAACCAGAATTGTCATCCTTTGGTTTACTTATACCCGCATTGATTTTTTTTCAATAACTCTAAGATTATCCGAAGAGGCCAATCATGCTTGCTTTCAACTGACTTTACATGAGCAATTTCTGTGAAAATGAAGAATTTATTATCTGAATATATTTTAAAGTACCGAGTAAAGTGGCCATTCAGAACAAAATTTAAAGCTTGGAATGAAAAGGATACAATAAGTTTCAAATAAGAACTCGGATTCAATCAAGAAAGCAAAAGTAACTGGGGTGACATCAAAACCAAAGAAAACCAATTTGTCGTGTAAATAATTCCTTCTATCTGTGTATGCCATAAGGCCTACCACTCGAGCTACGTATACACGTATGGAAGAGTCAAACCATCAATTCTAAAAAAAAAAAGGAGGAAGTATTTACCTGGATAGCGGGAATTGCCTGACTGGGTCTCAGATGTCCAGAATGTGTCTTTGTACGGTGCCAGACCCATCGCGTCGGCAAAGATGGAGGATATCCCTATCTTCCACTGGTCATCGACCAAGTGGTAATCGTCACTCACTCGTGCCTTCAAAGAAAAAAAACCCAGAATAAAATGGCAACCCTCACTAGTATATACATCAATGGTGTATTAGTGGGCATTGTAAAACGATCCATGTTCATCTTCTACTAGTCAGTATCCAATTTAAAACAGTCCTTGTTCATCTTCTACTTGTCAGCATGCAACTGTCAAACATTCCTTGTTCATCTTCTACTTGTCAGTAGACAATTTTGAAATAGTCCAGTAAATTACATAAGGATAGTTGAGGTATCACTTTGTTACATTAATCTGACAGAGGACTAACAAGAAGTATCTAGATGATCACCATCGAAAAGAAGAAGAAAAAAGGAAATATTGTCATATTGAGATTTCCCAAAAACGTTTCATCGGGAAAGCAGACCACCTGTATTTGCAGGAGACACAAAACTTTCTTATCGGTCTTCACCCATGAACAGTACGGATAAAAGGTGACTCTATCTGCCGTCGTACATCAATGACGTGGTCTATTGGACATTAAATTAACAGTCTTGATGTATGTAAAAAAAACTTTATTCTACTTATCATCAACAAAGTCATTTCTTTGATCACTAAGGGTGTATGACATGACATGTTCAGTAAATACACCATTAATAGGGTTTTCGACATGACAAGCTTAGGAAGTAAGCCATACTTAGGGATAATGATATATCATGCTCACAGAATAAACCATCCTAGATATGTACACGATACTTAAAGGGGATATTGCATACCAGGTATGTAGCCACCAATATGGTTCTGTAATGGATTGTTTTCGCGTATCGTATATTTGCTAGTCATTGCGGTTATGAAGTCAGCGATATTCAATATTTTTTAGCGAAGAAATAAATTTGCGAATCACTGGTATACTAAAAGGTTATGTTATGTAAAAATTTGTGAGACGGGCCTTAACCTTATTTATTTTTTCTATAAGATTTTTATTTCCTTTTTGTGAAAGAGAACATCCACAATTCGAACGAAAACTACGAAGCTAAATCCCTCAAAAATGTATCAATTAGGCAGTTAATATAACCTCATAAATTTGATTGGAATAATATCAACAATCTTCTATTTACTTTCATTGTTAGGTCAATGAAATGTGAAATAGAATTTTTAACTGAATAAGAGAACCATTATGTATCAATGTTTAAGATAGAATAAATCGCATCAGGTATTTTTTAAGCTAATAAACTTCGTGTATGTGGTCGTACATGTAAATGACCTTCTCGTGTTGGGGATATATCATCTGGGAGTAAGGTGATGATATGGATGACACCATTCCACTGTTGGTGAAATGTCAATTTTGTCTAGACAGTCGTCGATTATCGTTGTCAATAATAATGACACACCTGGGAAATGGCTCAGTAATAATTTCATTTCTAGGCATCTATCAGGCTGACATTTCCAATATGAGGACAGATATGGGGATCAACCTGAAACAATTGTATTAATAGCCGGTGAATAATTTCTCTTTTGGGGTCTATCAAACGCGAGAGGTTAATATGGTGTTTTCTATCAAACAGATAAACAATCCGTTCTGGATTAGTTCTTACTGTATATGCTGAAATGAATACATGAAAACGGATACAAATGTTTCAAATTAAAGACAGAAGTGAAGAAAATGGGGAATTCCTTCACAAGAGTAAGATAAATGGAATTCAAACTGGCAACATTTAAATATTCTATTCATCATATTTTTGTGACTCATAGCAAAGAATGTTTACAAAAGAAATTTTAAACCAGTTTTTTGTTGCGACAATGTCATACAGCCAACTGCATATGTTGCTGAAGATTGATGTTCGTGAAAAATGATGGTTCTTACACTCGACTTAACCGAATCTGAACAGATATCATATCCTTCAGCTGTATTTGTTCAATGTGTATTGCCATATGTGTTTAAGCTGATTAAACACCGTCGTTATTTCTTGCTGCCGTAAGAAAAATAACAAAATTATTTTGATTAACATTTCTGCATAATTCACAGCATTGAATGATTAAATTAAATTATTTTATCATTTTGATTACTAAAGATATCATCTTACTCATCAAATAAGCTAGTTACAGGGCACAAACCCAAATGGAATGCCCCCAGAGTAATATTATATATATGGACAATTTTTAAGGCGTCACTTCATACCAATACGTGTGATTGAAATGTATTCACCTGTGTGACGGCAGGGTTTTTCAGACTCTGTAAAGCGTGCCTAGGAAGCGCCATACAATACTGGATGGTTATGTTGAGTTTCTGAGCGGCGTTGTTCATCTGCTGTAGCCATCGTTCACCAAGGGTGAGGTCAGTCTGAAGGGCGACAGTACCGATTGTCTGAATGTTCAGCCAGTCCTATAACAGTTAAAAATATATTAAGCAAATTCGGTAATACAGTAGTGATGTCGTCGTATTATTGATTGTAAACAGAATGTTTTAAACACGAATTACAAAAAAAATCGTATCATTTCAAAACCTAATTTCTACAAAAGTGTGAAAACATAAAAAATATATAGCCGTGATATTGATCAATCCCAAAACCCATTCGACATTTTATAATATATAATGATTAAATAAAATAACATATAGAAACCTTACTCAATATGAACAAAGGATCCTATAATTAAGAACTGTGAATTCCTAGAAAACACTTAACCCCACTCATTGCAATTCTGCTATTCCATAATACATCTACAGAAGTCAAAGATAACGTGTACTTCAATACATACCTGTAATCCAACATACCTGTTCATACATTATCAAACCCCATTGCCTGGCTGTTGATAGTAAGTCGTTCCAAAACGTCTGCAAAGATACATTGGTCATTCAAGTTACCAGCATAATGACCAAAGTGTGGAACGACACATAGAGCTGTCGTCAATTTTATTACTTTTTTGTAATGTCGGCTCTTCTATAGCTAACTTTATTCTCGTTAAAGACTAGTGTAATGTATCTATGAGCGATATCAGAAAGCGTGCTTATATAGCTCCCACTCCTATAATACAATTGAACTATTACAAATTACATTTGATAGGAACATGTTTAGTTTAGTGGACTCGCGCGTACCGTTAACGTTGTAACATACCCTGCGTCATCACAGATGATAATGACCTATTGTTCTGTACCGAGTGTCACTGGGATTAAGTTATATATCTCGTGGAAATTCAAAAGTGCTAAGGTTGTATGTACTCTGGTATTGTTTGCCAAGAATCTTAACAAAAGGACATCCAACTCGAAACTTTTCATCCATGTAACCCTAAGGAATTACACAGTTTTATCATTTTCTGTCTTTAACGGGTTGTACAATAGTGATCGTGACGCGTGTATGTTACATCTCTATAAAAGACTATAAAAGATGTATTGTGTTATGGTGTATATGTACAACCTAATCATTAATGATCGTGACGTGCGCGTGTTACCTGTATAAATGTGCCTTTGTGTAATTTTGTGTAGGTGTATATAAATATTTGTTAAAAAGTAATCGTATCACGCAGATGTTTACCTGTCTATGAGAACTTTATGAAATGTGTTTAAAATAGCTCGTTTGTTTACAAGTGATATTGTTTGATGCAGGGGCAATGCGTGACTGTAAAAGTGCAAAAGAAAATGGACAACCAGCATGGCTTTGAGTGATTGTAAAGGCGCGTATGTGCAATCTAGCAGGTTATGATTGATTGTTAAAGCGCATAGAAGCGATCTAGCGGGGCTTTGAGTCACTGTAAATGTGCATAGGTAGGATCTAGCGGGGCTATGAGTGATTGTAAAAGGCGCATAGGTGTGATCTAGCGGGGTTATGAGTGATTGCAAATGCGCATACATGCAGGTAGGATCTAGCGGGACTATGAGTGATTGTAAAGGCGCATAAATGCGAGCTAGCATGGTTATGCGTGATTGTTAAGACGCATAAATGCGATCTAGCGGGGCTATTCGTGATTGTAAAGGTGCATATGTGCGATCTAGCGGGGCTATGATTGGCTGTACAGACACTTAGGTGGGATCTAGCGGGGAAAAGTGTGACAGGAATTGATGAATATAATGTGCCTACCTGGTCGTCAGGAATGGCCAGTAAAGTTTCTTTGATGAAAGTGTAATTTCCACCGTTAGCCTTGTCGTATACGTTGTCCGAGGACCTAAAGAGAAATTTAGCTTGTATTTCCAATGAAAAAGTATTCCGTCTTTTGGTATTGCAGAGTTATCTTCTCTTGTGAGCAGGGATTGATTGTTACGTCATTTGTTTGTGAGAGTAACATCATCAATTATTGAGAAAACGACGTAATTTTCTCACACAACTCAGTGACGTAACAATCAATACCTGCTCAGAGGAAAAGATAACTCTGCAATACGCAAAGACGGAATAATAACCTCTATCTGATATTCTGTATGTACATTCATATTTGTGTGCTTTGCTACGCTATGTAATACTAGAATTGAAGCGACATTCAATACCATGGCTTCTCATGATATGATAATATTCTAAACAGCAGGCCTGGCAATACATGTACTGTACTTCACACTGTGTTAATACAAAATGTTGTATTTCCCATGCAACCAGAAATCCTTTTTTGGGCTCATCAGTTATTATTCACTGATTGAATCTACGAATCGAGACAAAAATTGATTCCGAACATTTGAGTGCCATTTTAAGTGATGGTAAAGTGAAGTCATTGTTCTGTCCTCGGCGACAGTTTGTTTGTTATCGTTGTTCGGTTCAAGCTTTCGTAAAGGAACATAAACCTTAATAATGATAATTAATGTTTTTCAGAAAGGATAATATGCATTTAAATAACAATTAAAAACAGTATGTAATAATAGTAGAGTTTAATAGGTATGTGTTCACCTGACGTCAATGACCGCACAAATTAATTGCAGGAATATTTCACTAGAGCAACATCCCTCGTTAAATAATGTACGTATACTATGTACTACGGCAATCCCAGTGTACATGATTCGCCCTTGAATGACGTAAACGATAATATTTCATTTTCTTCTATGTTAATAATAATCTATCCGGGTAAAACAAATACAAGATGCTTCTCTTATACAAAGAAACATGCATTTTTTATCCTAAAGTAGAAAATTACACACAAATTAAACAGGAATATCTATATAAAAATAACCACACATCGTTTGCGTGAGAAAAATGTGTGGGAAATGGAATGCGTTATGCTGACGTCATGTGATTCCTCATATTCAATCTGACGTCATGAGATTTCTCCTATCCAATCAGTCCCTGCAGGTAGGGCGAAATAATTGTACCTGCTGCCCCCCTTGCATGATCGTAAGAGGCGGCTAAATTTAGGATCTTATCTTTTCTCTTCTTCCTAAACAACTTTCTTCTTCCTAATTTTTCCCTTGACAATGCATCATTTTTGGCCTTTAATTGCGCGCTCGCCCTGTGCGGAAGGATATGGGTTCTGACTTCTAGCTGAGACATACCAGAGTCTGTAAAAATGGTAGTTTCTACTCCTGCTTAACGCTCAGAAATTTAGGAGTGGGACGACTGGTTCGCCCGTTGTCAGTATAATGTGACCAGATGGGGTGCCTTGCTGGGTGTCTTCGGTAGTATGTTTTAGTGAGGTAGCACTATAAAGTCGGCATCAGTTCCGCGCTAACATAAGGAGACAAACACGAACATATCGCAGCCTCCCAAAACACACACGCATACATCTTGCACACAGGGGAGGCCGTCCTTAAATGACCATAAATGTTGATAGTACGTTAAACAATACTAAACCAAACCAACTAAACCAATCCTATCCAATCATAGACAATGTTACATAGAGGAGGTGTTGTGATGTTACTCACACATTACTCGTATGCGGATGATGAGTTTACAGAAATCTGTTTTTACTAACATGTTCAGATTAAGACTTGACACCGGATCACGCTTCTGGGATTGATTGTATTACATTAGACATAACTAACAACATTAGAGCAAGACTTGACGACGTAATGATGGTTTTTGTTCAAAGCTACGAGTATGTATTGAATTAACATTTGACTAAATTTCCCTTGGGAACACAAAAGTGAACAAGAGTACCGCGGGGCGGAACAATATACGCCCGTCGAATGCCATATAGTGTTATATACTTTCTTACATTGAAATAAGATCGGCATCATTCAAAGAGAGGTTAGCTGACATGCTATAAAAATGTAGGAGAAAATCTCCGGATAAAAAAAAGGAGACACAACTTCATATCATGATTATCATGTATACCAAGTTTCAAAGAATTCCGTTGAAAAATGTAGGAGGAGATTGCCGGACAAAAATAAAATGCTAAAATGAACTAAGGGCAATAACTTTTGGAAAAAAATTCAAATCAAAATTCTTTTAAGTGAGACACAAATTCATATCATGATTATAAAGTGTACCAAGTTTCAAAGAGATTCGTTGAAAAATGTAGGAGAAGATTGCCATTTTTCACGATTGCGTTTAAAATAGAATGTGGTAAAATATATTTATACTGATATGTCGCGAAATATTTACATATGCAGGTGGTCACGAAATGTATACAAGAAGGCATGAGCGAAATGTATAGTTCTATCAGCGAAATATATACAGGTGCATATATGTCATAAGATAAATACGGGAGGTCGAATAAGAAATACAAGGACGTCGGGGAAAATTTTAAAATACGTCGCGAAATATTACTAGTAAGTCGCAAAATATATATAGCAGTTATCGTGAAAACATACTGGTATGTCGCGGAATATTTACTGGTAAGTCAAGAAATATATACTTGTAAATCGTCAAATATAAATTGGTATTTCAAAACCTTTCAGGAGTATAGTTTGCTGCAAAATACATACTGACATTTGATCAAAATACATATTTATTAGTTGTAAAATACATACTGTAGTGTCGCGTTATATACCGTTACGTCGCAAAATACTGGTATGATGTGAAATATATAATGGTATACACGAAATGTTTATTGGTTTAGGCGAAATGAATATTGTTTGCATAAGATATTTATTGTAAATTTGCGCAATAAATGCTGCCTTGGTATGTCGCGAAATATATACAGGTATGTCGTAAAATATCTACTGGCAATATAAATAATTTATTGGTGTACCAAACATACTTGTATGTCGCGAAAGATACGCTTGTATACGTAAAACATGTTTTGCTTTCCGCACAATATACAGTTATGGTCTGGAATATGTACTTGTATGTGTAAAAACATATAATAGTATTTCGCATCATTCATAGAATATACACCAGTGCGTCGCAAAAAAACATTTTGGTTTGTTGTGAAAGATATACTGGTATATCACAAAATACATGCTGGTACATTGTACAATGTACAACGCCAAATAGTTATATACATTGGAATGTGCGAAATAAACATATATGTCGCGACATATATACTTACATGCGTGAAATACGTCTCACAATAAATACCAGTACGTCACGAAAATGTACTGGTTTACATACACAATCAGTTACGGTTCAATGTCTTAACCCTATAACAAAGTTCCGAACGCTCATACCATAAATTCGATAATAAGCCGCGGCTTATTTTAACTGCAGAAAGGTATCTAGACTTATTTCAATTTTTTTATTTTTTTTAGATCAGTCGATTCGATATGAAATGCCCATTCGGTGATGATTTGCTATTCAAATAAAGCTAATCATGGGTATTTAACAAAAAATATTGTCTATATTTGTGAAATCTGTGAATTAGGAAGTATTTTCAACACCAGTTTGCAGGAGTTCAGAAATTACCACGGTTAAAAGTCGGTTAACGGAGTTACATCAATTAAAATTTAATTAGTACAGTACAAGTTATACTCCCTGTTATGCCTTCAACAGGAACAAAACACCGCGTAAAGGCGAGCGATTAGAATGTCACGTGAACTCGATTTTTAGATTTTTAATGGCCTTGTACGTATAAAATATTTAATAACTTCATCACATTTGCTTACATTAACACGTATAAAATATTTCTGCTACAATTTTTATCTATATCGAGGTTTTTTTTAGGTTTTTTTAGGTTTTTTTTATTCATTTTCAATTTTTTTCATGACTTGATACAACAAACATGGTACATGATTGTTGGTTAAGCTGTTAAAGCTTAAGAGTTGTTGCTAATTAATTCACTATGAATAAATATTTATCAAGCATGTACCTATATACAGAGACAAAAAATAATTCACATAAATTATTAATAAATAAATGGTATTCTTGACATTAGGTATACAGACAAAAATCAAAAGCACACAAAAGACATGTTATACTAAAACGTTCGTGGTATGGCTAGCATGCACACATGAAATGAAACATAATTAGATAATTATTTAGGGACTTAACAAACTATACTAACGTTACCATGACATATATATCAGGGATCCGCAGGAGATTCCAATATGCAATTCTTGCATTTTTTGTTTATGAATTATAATGTGGTCATATCCTATCCCTTTTTTGAGTTACATTTATCTGTGACATTGATTGTTTTAGTCATTAAAGTAATGCAATGAACCTTCATCACTTCGTATTTCTACTAATTATCCTAAATATTTTCCACGGAGCATCATTTTTTACAGAAAGTTATAACTTATGCTTCAAAATGTGTCATATGGTTACCTTGAAAAATTGCACAACAAAAACCAACAAAATAACAGGATAAAAGAAATATATCTCAAGTTTCAAGTGTCTGATTTCCATTTATAAAAGTATAAAACGTAATAAGTTTAATGCAGGACCAATACCTTTCGGTTTCTTTAATCCATACACATTGGATACAATACAACTGCAAGAATGTATCTTTCGCCTTAAATGAATATCTGATAAAGGCAATCAAAATTGATTTAACGTCTGGATAGGAAATTATGCATTCTTATACATTTCAGGCCTCGGTGATCCTTAGCGTCGGCTGCCGTGTTAGATAGTATGTCAGATTACCGAAGCCACATTTCAATATCGTTTTATCAATATTTTGTTAATGTTTCATGTAGTTTCATTCTAGCTAAGATGATTAAATTTATGGACTGATTCTTTTTATATCAATTACTAAACTCATCACCCCAAAGAAACCCCTATGAGTTCGGGCAATGCGTATGTAATACAGTGATGTCGATCACTCGGTCTTATCATTAAAGTTGTGATCAAAAACTTTTCCAAATCTCGCTTAAGCTGATTTTCTTTCTTAAATTATGACAGATATGATAGACACTGTCACTGATAGAGGAACACATATAAAACTGAAGTGAACATACGCATATAGTGTATACGAATCGACATCGATTTATATTAATCACCAACTCCTACATATTTTACACCTTTTTGTACATACCCTTCACTGGTTATTTGTCCGATGAAGGTGACAGGGTACCAACTAGGCATCGAAACGTCACACATAAACACTCACTGGTTGTGATACATAAATAAACTTTCTACAATATTACGAGTCTTTCTACAGTTCCTAATGAACTCAGTTGTTATCTCGAGCGTTCTGTGCGACAGTGTAATACATTGTTAACCCACACATTAGCAAGTAACAGAGAAATGCTCCTGGATTAAAGGTAAAATGTCATCACGCATTTCCAATTCCCAAACACTGCCGTTACTTTCTGGCGACATTTAATCCCGGTGTCTCTCGAATGACATGCACCACACAGCTACAAGAACATCTGGCTCAAAGTTCTCCAATGTTGGAAATTCTAGGGTCGAGTATATCAGTTCTCGTTCTTACGTGTAGTAGGAATGTGACTGTACACTAATGCGTTGAATTCTTTAAATCAATTGCTGCGAAAACATAAGTGTTGAAAGATATACCATGTATATGTTTACCAGAATACATTTTAATAGCAATCCTGTTGATTGAATAATTAGTACTACATTAGATTACTCACCAGTATCTGTTGTGGGCTGCTATTGACCATCCTGTGGTCTGGGACAGGAATCTATAAAATATAGTTAACTTGACATGACACGACCAACTTGAGGAGATAAGCAACATTTATGATGCAATTTAGGATCTTCTGTGGGAAAATATAAATATGTTATTTAATGTTTTAGTTTGTGAAAATCAAAGTCTCAATGTGTCAATTTGCATTAACCTAATAGGAATAACAAATTCAAGCTCAAAGAGCTCTATAATATTTCTAGGTAAAAAGCAAGGTAAAGGTAAAGTTTAGTCATGTAGTCATATAGCACAAAACGTAGTGATAAATATGCTGTTAATGCCACAAAAACAAAATAATTAAACACTTGAATACTACATGAGGAAGCTTACTTGACACCCCTAGGGAATATTTCTGGTCTATAAGACCACTGCTTGATACCGTCCAGTAATCCTTTGTAGTACCACCATGAGTCGATCTGGAGATATCTGTGGACAGTAGGTAGAAGTAGCATTGACATCACAACATGACTTGGAGTAACATCAATTCTACGTCGATATCAGCAGTTATCGCAAAGAAACCAAAGCTAAAGGAACGACTGACCCTGACTAAAGAAAAGAGCAATGCAAGAAACCCCAGATAGGGTTTGAGTTCGCGGCACCACCTCTAGCACCAAGTATCCCGTAAAAACAAAGAATGTCAGTTAACAACGTACAAGTCATAGTGTATATTATGAATGCATTTCTACTTTCTTAATGTACAAAATACAACCCATAAATCCTTTATCAAATTACCTTACCTGTTGATAGGACTTTATTTAAAATCCTTTTTCGCGTGAAACAGAACTGCATTTCACAGTATAGAAGCACATATGCTTGGATATGATTCAATAGTTAGCCTATCAATATACACAAACGTTTATTTTTGTTTTGTTGGTTTATAACCAAGGGTTGTAAATGGCTATACTTCTAATTAAATTTGTACTTCAAGTGAGCCAGAGGTCAAACCTGCCGCTGATTAAACACGACGGTTTACAATGGTTTTTTTCGTATGTTATTGTTACTACTGTATGCCTTCCACGTTGCGGAAGCTGTTGCTTTTCCATAGGAAAAAATATTAAGGTCACAAACTGCAGATTTGAAAAACGAGTATTAATATGCGATATTGTACCTGTTCCAGGTCATTCACGCCAATAAAATAGCGAGACTCTAGAGACAAGTGGACATTTTATACACCCGGGTCAAACAATTTTGCACAAGATTCTTCATCGTTCAAATCAAAGAGGAAGAATGCTACAGGTACTGATGATGGTATGACGCTTCAGTAGACCGGGGGGTGGGGTTAGAACTTTGTCGTGAAAAATTAATCTGAGTCACGTGATCGCGGGTCGTCCTTGGCATATCGGCGAACTAGGAGTGTATGTGTTTACGTTTATATCGATAGCTGGCGATGTATTTCACAGTACATAAGTTATCTTTGAACCTAAGAATACTTCTTTTTGGTAATTTGATATTACGCATTCGGCTTTATCATAGTTAGATTTATTATTTTGAAGTAGACGGCACATCTTTATTTGGTACATGTAGTAGGCTTCAAAACCATTTAACAGAATGTGAAAAACATCAAGATTTGGAAATGATGGTCGATGTCCTCAGTGTATATAGTGTAGGATTTCGTGTGACATAAGAAAGAATCATAATTCGCAAGAAATACTGATATCAGTACACTACTAAATCGTAATTGCATATATATCTCACTTTGAATTACATGTAAGTATGGAAACACCGATTTACTTCGTATTAAAACCTGGCAATACATTATACTTCAGCTCTGGTCTACAGAAAACACGCGGCGTTCTATTCGTACACCGACTTTCGATTGACAACCCAAAAACAACTAACCAATCATTTTCGATCACTTGATAACCGATTTGGCTAATCCATACAATGCAAGGTCGGGCATGATTCCATTTTTGGAATTCCTGTGGTTTACGTTGAACATTTAAGAACCAGCGAATGAAATATCATCTATTATGAAGATCAACTGTCGGAATTGTTTTAAAGAAATAGCTGACAATCCACTCGCATTAATCCCGTCAAAATTGCTATTATAATACCTTGGATTAATTTAGTGCATTTTAGTATGGTTTTAGGGTGGCCTTTTGCCCTAACTGTTGACAGAACGATCGCATACACATACAACTGCCCTGCTGCACATTTCATACCGATGGTTTGGATTTATAAGATTAACATCATTGCACTTTATTTATATAAACATGAAGGTCTATATCGTAGTTCTACGTGAATTGTGCAATTACTTTCTCCAGCAATCAATGCTTTTTTTATATATTATATGATGTCCCATCGTAAATAAGACAACACACATTACAGATGTATGCAATCTTAAATAGTATGTGTGTTGATTTCTTACTCAAAACCAATTAACACCATAAAGTACTTACAGCAAGATTATCAGCTATCTTCTATTTTATTTATCTGCTTGTGTATATCGTACAGCTTTCTTTGTGTGGAACTCATCATTTAGAACAATGCTGTATATCACAGTAAGGTAACAGTAAGGTAACAGGAAGGTAACAGGAACCGATACTGACGATGGTGTGACGCCTGAACGGACCACCGAAAGAACTTCGGAACTTCGCCATGAAAACCGATCTGAATCACCAGATCGCAGGTCGTCCTTGGTACATCAGAGGCCTGCGAGAGTAGGTACGTCAGTTTATGTCGATGACACTGGCGATGAATTTAAGTTATGTTTAAAATTATCTATACTTTTATATCGTTTCCTCTCGTGTAGGACTCTCCACCTCGCACGATAATGTCCCTCTTGGTATTGTCGAAGAAGAGAAGGCGTGATAACATCGACTTAGAGAGTAGATTATTTTAGGTTTAATGTTTACATTTATTTACCTAGATCAAACCGATTACATATAGGCTATGGTCAATCCTCTTCCGTCCTCCTCCTCTCATTCCGCGTCGGAATACTTTTATGTAGTATGTCTAGTTACATCGGTTCACTGTTAGGTAACGTTAAACAACAGTATCTCTCAAGTAGGACAGTTAAGACAGACGACTCCTATTTTCTCCGCCGCTACCTTCTCACTTTCTCCTCTTTCTCTACATACGTTACATTCCTTCTATACTCATTTTCATATATTTTCTCGTCTGCTGAAAGGCCAAAAGACTGTAATATAGAGGAAAAAACAGCCGAAAGGCTGTAATATAGGACTAAAACCATCAAAATCTAACCTTTGAAAACATTACATTTTTTACATTATTCGATCAATTGTTTTGAAGCGGCAAAATTGTAACTGTTAAATGTAGTATGGTGCGACGGCCTATTTTTAAATGGATAACAAGATATCATATAGAAATTGTGTCAGATTCATTTATTCATTATTTTATTACTGTGATGATGGACTATTGTATCTATTTATAAAAATACGACTGGCACTGTGAGTGTATGTGACTTTTGTCGACTCGACCTGTATCATTTGTGCATAATTTCGTTATACAATATGAGACAAAATCTATTATTCTCCAGAAACATTTAACCACTCGATACACTATTAAATAATTGTTTTGTACATTTTTAACGTTTACATATAAGCATGAAAACATTGTTACGTTAGCATAATGTGTGACTATCTCTTATTCTTTAGATCAGGTCCACAGAAAACACGTGGCATTCTATTCGTACACCGACGTGCGATTGACCAATCTTGGAATCAACCAACCTATTATTTTCAACCATGTGGTAACCAATTTGGCTGATCCGTACAACGCAGGAACCGGAGTGTTCCACTGTGGAGTTTCTGGCGTTTACGTTTTTAACATTCACCTTCTAGTCTTACCGGGCAAGTATTTCCAAGCCGAATTGGCAAAAAATGGGGCGGCGGTTTCCTTGATATATGCAAGCGGTACAGGCGATACATTTGCCCATGGTGGAAATACAGCCATTCTGGAATTAGTTGTAGGAGACGAGGTCTGGGTACGGCCTAATTCTGGAACTAGCCAGGGAGCTATTCTCGATTACAACTTTTCCAGCTTTTCTGGTTTTCTGTTATAACAATACTGACATGATTAAACGTCAGGATTTAAAAAGTATTTTTGTTATTAATTTCAGCTAGTTCATTTGTTAACAGTCATTAAATACATTATCTCTGTGTACTTGACCGTTAGTGAATTACTGTCTATTCCATTTGTTCCCTGTGTTCTGGACCATTCGTGACCTACTGTCTATTAAACTCGTTCACCGAGTTCTCGACCGTTAGTGACCTATTGTCTATTTTACTCTTTGCTGTGTTCTGGACAGTTAGTGATCTACTGTCTTTAACACTCGTTCATTGTGTTCGCGACCGTCATTGACCTACGGTCTATTTCACTCGGGTACTGTGTTCTGGACTGATAGTGACCTACTATCTATAACACTCGTTCACTGTGGTCTGGACTGTTAGTGACCCACTGTCTATTAAACTCGTTCACGGTGTTCTTGACCGTTAATGACCTATTGTCTATTACACACGTTCACTGTGTTCTCGACTGTTAGTGACCTACTGCCTATTACCCAGTTCATTGTGTCCTGGACCGTTAGTGACCTACTACCTATTACACTCCTTCACTGTGTTCTGGACCGTTAGTGACCTACTGCCTATTACACTCGTTAATTGAGTTCTAGACTGTTAGTGACCTACTGCCTATTACCCAGTTCATTGTGTCCTGGACCGTTAGTGACCTACTACCTATTCCACTCGTTCACTGTGTTCTGGACCGTTAATGACCTACTGCCTATTTCACTCGTTCACTGTGTTCTGGACCGTTAGTGAACTTCTGTCTATTCCACTCTTTCACTGTGTTCTGGACCGTTAGTGAAGTACTGTAAATTACACACGTTCACTGTGTTCTGTACCGTAAGTGACCAACTGTCTAATCCACTCGTTCACTGTGTTCTGGACTGACAGTGACTTACTGTCTATTACACTCGTTCACTGTGTTCTGGACCGTTAGTGACCTACTGTCTATTACACACGTTTACTGTGTTCTGGACTGACAGTGACTTACTGTCTATTACACTCGTTCACTGTATTCTGTACCGTTAGTGACCTACTGTCTATTCCACTCGTTCACTGTGTTCTGGACTGACAGTGACTTACTGTCTATTACACTCGTCCACTGTGTTCTGGACCTTTAGTGACCTTTTGTCTATTTTACTCTTTCGCTGTGTTCTGGACAGTTAGTGATCTACTGTCTTTTACACTCGTTCATTGTGTTCTTGCCCGTCATAGACCTATGGTCTATTTCACTCGGGTACTGTGTTCTGGACTGATAGTGACCTACTATCTATTTCACTCGGGTACTGAGTTCTTGACTGATAGTGACCTACTATCTATTACACTCGTTCACTGTGGTCTGGACTGTTAGTGACGTACTGTCTATTCCACTCGTTCACTGTGTTCTAGACTGATAGTGACCTACTGTCTATTACACTCGTTCACTGTGTTCTTTACCGTTAATTACCTACTGTCTATTACACACGTTCGCTGTGTTCTCGACTGTTAGTGACCTACTGCCTATTACCCCGTTCATTGTGTCCTGGACCGTTAGTGACCTACTGCCTATTACACTCGTTCACTGTGTTCTAGACCGTTAGTGACCTACTGCCTACTACACTCGTTCACTGTGTTCTGGACCGTTAGTGACCTACTGCCTACTACACTCGTTTACTGTGTTCTGGACTGTTAGTGATCTTAATGAACTTCTGTCTATTCCACTCGTTCACTTTGTTCTGGACAGTTAGTGACCTACTGCCTATTATACTCGTTCACTGTGTTTTGGACTGTTAGTGACCTAAGGTCTATTCTATTCGTTCACTGTGTTCTTGACCGTTCATGACCTACTATTTATTCCACTTGTTTAGTGTGTTCTTGACCGTTAGTGACCTTTTGTCTATTACACTCGTTCACTGTGTTCTGGACTGTTAGTGATCTTAATGAACTTCTGTCTATTCCACTCGTTCACTTTGTTCTGGACAGTTAGTGACCTACTGCCTATTATACTCGTTCACTGTGTTTTGGACTGTTAGTGACCTAAGGTCTATTCTATTCGTTCACTGTGTTCTTGACCGTTCATGACCTACTATTTATTCCACTTGTTTAGTGTGTTCTTGACCGTTAGTGACCTTTTGTCTATTACACTCGTTCACTGTGTTCTGGACTGTTAGTGATCTACTGCCTATTACACTCGTTCATTGTGTTCATGAATGTTAGTGATATACTGCCTATTTCAATCGTTAACTGTGTTCTAGACCGTTAGTGAACTTCTGTCTATTTCACTCGTTCACTGTGTTTTGGACAGATAGTGACCTACTGCCTATTACACTCGTTAATTGTGTTCTGGACTGATAGTGACCTACTATCTATTACACTCGCTCATGTTCTGGACCGTTCGTGACCTACTGCCTATTACACTCGTTAATTGTGTTCTGGACCGTTGGTGACCTACTGNTATTACACTCGTTAATTGTGTGCTGGACCGTTGGTGACCTACTGTCTATTACACACATTCACTGTGATCTTGACCGTTAATGACCTACTATCTATTACACTCGTTGCCTGTGTTCTGGACCTTTAGTGACCTTTTGTCTATTACACTTGTTTACCGTTTCCAGGACCGTAAGTGACCTACTGCATATTACACACGTTCACTGTGTTCTCGACTGTATGTGACCTACTGTCTATTACATTCGTTCGCTGTGTTCTCGACTGTTAGTGGCCAACTATCTATTACACTCGTTCACTTCGTTTTTGACCATTAACGACCTATTGTATATTTCACTCGTTCAGTGTGTTTTGGACAGTTAATGACCTACTATCTATTACACTTGTTAAGTGTGTTCTTGACCGTTAGTGACCTACTACCTTTTAAACTCGTTCACTGTGCTCTGGACTGTTAGTGACATTCTGTCTATTCCACTCGTTCACTGTGTTCTTGACCGTAATTGACCTACTGCATATTACACACGTTCAATGTGCTCTGGACCTTTAGTGACCTACTGTCTATTACATTCGCTCATCTTCTGGACCGTTAGTGACCTACTGTCTATTACATTCGCTCATGTTCTGGACCGTCAGTGATTTACTGTCTATTACACTCGCTCATGTTCTGAGCCATTAGTGATCTACTGTCTATTACATTCGCTCATGTTCTGGACCTTTAGTGACCTACTGTCTATTACATTCGCTCATGTTCTGGACTGTTAGTGATCTACTGCCTATTACACTCATTCACTGTGTTCTGGACCGTTAGTGATCTACTGTATATTATACTCGCTCATGTTCTGGGCCATTAGTGATCTCCTGCCTATTACATTCGCTCATCTTCTGGACCGTTAGTAACCTACTGTCTATTACAATCGCTCATGTTCTGGGCCATTAGTGATCTCCTGCCTATTACATTCGCTCATCTTCTGGACCGTTAGTGATCTAATGTCTGTTGCACTCGTTCACTGTGCTCTGGACTGTTAGTGACCTACTGTCCATTACACACGTTCACTATGTTCTGGACCGTTAGTGACGTACTGTCTATTACACTCATTCACTGTGTTCTGGACTGTTAGTGACCTACTGCCTATTACACTGATTCATTTTGTTCTGGACCTTTAGTGACCTACGGTCTATTACATTCGCTCATGTTCTGGACCGTCAGTGACCTACTGTCTATTGCACTCGTTCACTGTGTTCTTGACCGTTAGTGACCTACTGGCTATCACATTCGCTTATGTTCTTGACCGTTAGTGACCTACTGTCCATTACACACGTTCACTATGTTCTGGACCGTTAGGGACCTACTGTCTATTACAATCGCTCATGTTCTGGGCCATTAGTGATCTCCTGCCTATTACATTCGCTCATCTTCTGGACCGTTAGTGATCTACTGTATATTATACTCGCTCATGTTCTGGTCCATTAGTGATCTACTGTATATTATACTCGCTCATTTTCTGGACTGTTAGTGATCTACTGCCTATTACATTCGCTCATCTTCTGGACCGTTAGTAACCTACTGTCTATTACATTCGCTCATCTTCTGGACCGTTAGTAACCTACTGTCTATTACATTTGCTCATGTTCTGGACTGTTATTAACCACTGTCTATTACACTCGTTCACTGAGTTCTGGACCGTTAGTGACCTACTGTCTATTACACTCGTTCACTGTGTTCTGGACCGTTAGTGACGTACTGTCTATTACACTCGTTCATTGTGTTATGGACCGTTAGTGACCTACTGTCTATCACATTCGCTTATGTTCTTGACCGTTAGTGACCTACTGTCTATTACACTCGCTCATTTTCTGAACCGTTAGTGACCTGCTGTCTGCTACACTCGTTCACTGTGTTTTGGACCAATAGTGACCTACTGTCTATTACACTCGCTCATGTTGTTCTGGACAGTTAGTTATATATTGTATATTACACTCGCTCATGTTGTTCCGGACAGTTAGTTATATAGTTTCTATTACACTCGCTCATGTTGTTCTGGACAGGTAGTTATATATTGTCTATTACACTCGCTCATGTTGTTCTGGACAGGTAGTTATATATTGTCTATTACACCCGCTTATGTCGTTCTGGACAGTTAGTTACAATTATCTATAACACTCGCTCATGTCGTTCTGGACGGTTAGTTATTTATTGTCTATTACACCCGCTGATGTTATTCTGGACCGTTAGTGATCTAATGTCCGTTCACTGTGTTCTAGACTGTTAGTGACCTACTGTCTATTCCATTCGCCTCGCAATTTTTGTTGTCGAAATCATTCTCGAGATAACTCCATGAAATAATTTGAATTAGTTTTTTTGTAAGAAATCACTACATCAGCAAATACAATGTAAGATGACATTCATGTTCGGACGCCTGTTTTAGTGTTTAAAAATAAAGGAAAAAATATTTCTATCCTTATACGAATATTTGGCGTTTTCCTTGAAAACTGGCTAGAAGTATTACCATGGTGTAAGAACGTATCAAATAATCCGGAAATGATGGGTGCTACATGTGGTGTAGAATATGCCGACACTTCCGGAGCACCCTGTTTCGTGTCCAGATTCTAACACGGGGGTTCATGATGTGTTGCCTTTAAGTTATGCCTGCTCATCAGTGCTAACTTCTTTTTTTGACTAACTTTGAATGTTTTAATTCTATATCGGCGTGTTTGTATATTCACCAACGTACACGGAAATGATTGTCTCTTGTAAATTTCTGAAACAATCAGATCTTTAACATTTTATATTACTGTATGGATTGCAACAATCCAAATGAATTGTTCGGAGACAATTGGTCTTATTCCATTTGTTGTTTTTCATAGGCAAAATTATCACTTACTTGTAAGGAATTTTGTGCATGCTGGAATATGTTTTGACGTCAGTTAGTGTCTGTTCGTACGTAATATTCCGTCCGACGTCCGCGTCCTCTGTGTTGTAGTAGTAGAACGCCCCTGTGAAGTAATAACGTATCTGTTAGGCAAGATCATCAAATACAAATTGCACACGTTATGCGATAACAAATTGGCTGACATTGGCACTAAACAGAGAAGTAAATTTAGTCAGAAAATATACTTAGCCATAATGTAAATAATTCAAAAAGTACAGTTGGTTTGATAGCCGTGGTATAAAATATTTTCCAAAGAATGCTGAAAACTACATCATCTTCTGAACTTTTATAGGAAATATTCTATAAACATTCTCATACCATAGGCAAAACAGCCGAAACCATAAACAGACAAGAAAGTCAGTGCTTACTTGCTGCAATATCAAATTATGCGGTAATTGTTGGCCATTATCAACATATATAGGTGCTTAAGTATTTGCCTTAAAAATAGCATTTTCGTTTATTGGTGTTGCAGCCTAAAAGGAATTTAAGTAAATGATTATTAGTCACGAAGGTTGTAACTATTACATGACACGGAAACTGCACACACTTCTAACAATATCAAAGTAATAGGTAATATCACTGATACTCTCGTTAACCACATGTAATGTTGTCGTGTCTAGCGACTTGTTACAAATTCAAAGAGAGACAACTCGTACTAATGTGAAGCACTGCACGTTTCAATTATGACTGATATGCTCTGAAGTAATGAATGATAAACAAAAAGATTAAAGAAGCATCTTGGCGCCCATGATCAAAAGATCTTTATCAGATCTATAAAAGATTATCTTTTACCTTCTGTACTCTTCATTTTTCTTACTAGTAATATCACCCAGTCCCATGTTGGATATAACATAAACTCGTAATGTCACAAGATTATCGCCTGTCGGCAATTTTGTTTTGCAAAACAATGAGCCAGGGGGAAATTACATATACTGAGATATGCTGAGAAACAGCTTTTACAGGAATTTTACATGGACGACGGATGGACGGACGGACAATTTGATCAGCCAATCACCTGATGTTTGTGGGCTTAAAAAGAAATCATATATATGGCAGTCGTTTACCTTCAGGAGCGACAAAGGGACTTACAGTTACGTTAACAAAACGTGAGGTTACTCAGAGTGAGTGATTGTGACGTCATTCCCTTACCGTTGTCTGTCCAATATCCCAGATGACTGATAGTGGTGTCGGCTGCATAGATTCTCTGTCTTGTTCCATCATGTTGATGGCAACTGCGTAAAATAAGACCCCATGTTTCAAAGGCCTGTCAAAACAAAACGATAAAAGATAAAAGACATACTCGTGATAGGAAATTGGTGTATCAATCTGATAATTTAATTATCAATTTTGACCTTTTGAAACGTATATAGGCCGACAAATTGTAATGTGCGGGTTTACTGGTAAATACTGCGTTTACAGAATTGTAATATGTGTTCATACTAGCGAACTGAGTACGTAACAGTATCATATGTGGGTGTTTTTGTAGAAAAACGAGTTCCTATATAGAGTTTGGGATGTTCAATAATAAACAAAATATCGAACTCAAAGGGTTAGGAATCCCCCTCGGACTGACCGTGTTCACACCCTCTGCCGGTACCAGGATGGTTCTGACAGAGTATCCGGCCGGTATTAAATTCACCCCTCCCATAACACCCCAGTTGACACGCCCTCCTGGTGAGTCTTGGTGCCAAACTGATGACGTCATAAAGTTGTCGGCTGATGACAGAAGAAGGGTTGTTCCGGTCTGGTCGAAGATTGCAACCGGACCGCTTAACATGCCATCGGCAATCTTTGGTGTACTTGCACCCCATCTGAACATAGCGTGAATATAATGGTCAAATCCCGATAGCAGCATTTCTATATTCATTGCTTTCAAAATTATAAAAAAAAACATGCGTGTATCAATTATGATAGATGTGCATCTTCTAACTTTACGTGCATGTTTGAACAAACAAAAAAACGTTTTATTTATGATACATATTTGTACTTAACTTTAAATAAAAAAAATGTGAAAAACATTAATATTAAACTATTCCGGAATTTCTGTCAACAGTAATTTGATGTTACACTATGATATGGTTGGTCCCCGATTACTTTACCAGATGACGGAAATACCCGAACAGCCGTCGACTGTACAGTGATGTACAGTACAGTGCTGGAATAAAAATGAATCTGAAAGTTCTTAAAATCGATATCAACACAACGCAAAACGAAACACCTGCATACTTACGCTCCAAAGTTTTTCCCAACGTCACCCATCATTTTATCAGCAAACGTCATGTAACCCAATGGTGGTGATCCATTCGGTTGCACAACTTGAAACGATGGAAAGGCCCCGACGGTAGAGTTATAACAGGTCTCGAACCCAGGAACGGGAGGCCACGGCGGGGGGTGACAGTCGGGGGCCTGTGTCCCGGGTGTAGCGTTCACGTACACCTAAAGGCAAAGTGACATCATGCATTGTAAGTCATGCTTTCTTTTGCTCTATTTCAGGAAATGGATGATTGTTTAAATATCTCACGTGCACTTATGGATACTTTTTTTCCAGTTGTTATCTAAATATTTGTTCGGTCGAATCTGCCCAGATAACAAAAAAGCACACTTAGCTCATATAGTAGCGTTTTACCCAACTCTCTTAGTACTTATAATAAAAACAACGTTCACCATCTCTTTCAGTAGCGTCAGTACACGAAATAATAAAAACAACGTTCACCATCTATTTCAGTAGCGTCATTACACGAAATAATAAAAACAACGTTCCCCATATCTTTCAGTAGCGTCATTACACGTAATAATAAAACCAACGTTCACCCTATCTTTCAGTAGCGTCATTACACGAAATAATAAAAACAACGTTCACCAACTCTCTTAGTAGCGTCATTACACGTAATAATAAAAACAACGTTCCCCATATCTTTCAGTAGCGTCATTACACGTAATAATGAAAACAACGTTCACCATATCTTTCTGTAGCGTCATTACACGTAATAATATAAACAACGTTCACCATCACTTTCAGTAGCGTCATTACACGTTATACTAAAAACAACGTTCACCATCTCTTTCAGTAGCGTCATTACACGAAATAATAAAAACAACGTTCCCCATATCTTTCAGTAGCGTCATTACACGTAATAATAAAAAACCGCTTACCAACTCTCTTGAATAAAAAGCACTTACCAGTTCGTATATGTAGAACTTTGATGGATAAGCATACTCTTTGAAGTAGATATCAAAGAGATAGTCTCCTGACGCCCGGAGTCTGAAGCTGGTACAATCATACTGCCCGAAATCATCATGCTTGTTGGTACAATTCCTGTTAACGGAATCCACAACCAACGAGGAGTTGTCAAGGGTGACTGTCTCGTTATTGAGGCGAAGAAAAACAGGGGCGCTTTGTAACCACGTTTTATTGTTTACCAGGAAGGTATAGTCACCTAAATCGGATATCGTCTGATCATACCCGGCGTTATCTGTACGAAATAACACATATGTATCACTAGTCAACAACAATTAAAAGCAGTTAGTAACAAACAGACAAATGTACATTTACTGATAATATAGTAAAATGTAAGTATTTTTTCATTTAAACAAGATGAATTCGAGCACTTTTATGAATATAGTTATTCCATTTAACCTACTAATATGACGTCACTGATGAAATTTATCTATTTGGTGAAGCGAGTTGACCAAACAGGCCATTCTAACTTGGAATGATAACCCTGGTCGACATTATTTCCAGTGTCGATAGGTGGTGGTGTACATTTACACATAACAAACGTTGGTGGTGTGCATGTGGAAAATTGTTCATACACTTATGAACATATGCTGTATGGTAGAAGAATATACACACATGAACGTTCACTGTATACTTGTGACCGAGTTCATACACTTCCGAACACACATTTATTAACACATGAACATTCGTGAACAGCTGTACGATATACCGAAAGAGTATTATTCATGGGTTAATGCTGAACCCTATAAGTTATACTGCCTTTTAGACCACCAGTCTGTAACGTCCTACGTTGCTCCTTTCTCTACATTTACACATCAGCTGTCTTTATGAATGTTTGTTATGTAAAAAAAAAACACGACATGCGCAGACGTGCATTGACTTACCACAGTTGTAAGTCTGAAAAGCAGTTAAAATAATAATTAGGCTCCAGAGACGGATCATCTTGATGTATTAAAGGTGTTTCCCAATGTGACGGGCACCTGACCAGCCTTGACTGCATATGGACCAATGCGATAGTATCAGCTGACTGTATCAGCCAGTGTCAACATGACAGATGATAACATGCAGGCTCACTCCTCACATTACTACCTTGTTGATAAAATTGGCCAATGAATGATTTTTATTATAATAAAAAAAAAATGGGTATGTGAAAATTTCCTTAATCTGGGCAGATAAAGAGATGGGAGACATGTATTTAACAGTTAACAATTTGGAGTGCTTCAATATAGAATTATATAAAAACTGAAAGTATACAGTGTTAGTATGATATTAACCCCAATACCCAGACCATTTCTAGATATAACATCAGTTCTGCTTACACTTATTTTACACTTTTTCCGGGTCGATTGGTAACTTTTTTGTTCTTCGAACAAGACTCAAAATTAAAGATGCACAATTAATGACTCGTGATGAAGCTACTTGAAAAATGAGAAAGCTCTCGCAATGACTTCGATCCTGAGAAATAGCAACAATCATCCTTCCAACAGTTAAAATTAAAGATGTCTGAACAACTAAATAACCTAAGCAAAACGTATACATGAAATATGAGAAAGATGCTTCAAGCAGTTCTTAAAAAAAAAGCTAAAACAAACTTATAATGTCAAAATCCAAGACGGCTACCTGGCGACCGATTTGTTCTATCAACCACGGGTTACAAAGTAGAACATGCACAACTCAGTTTATGATAAAATCTTGTTCTTCTCAAGAAATCGTGATAACAAGTTAAAACTGTCAATATCAAAAATGGGTGCCTGCTGGTCACCATATTTCCCCATTAGTTTACAAATAAAACTTGCACCAATGACCAGTGTGAACCTGCATGTGTTTGCGAAGAATCAAAATAGCCGTGCCTGGACGGGAGAGGTGGATGGTGTACAACGCCTGGTCTTGTCCCGACACAAACACATACACTTATAGCAGCAATGTCATTGAGTTGTTGGGAAATATTTGGTGGGAATATGTTAGATCTTATAGAACGCAATACACTCACAGAAAGTTGTAAATCCTCTACAGATAGCAGTGACGATATCGATGTTGTCGTTTTGGTTGACTGAACAATCAGTGTTGTTCTTTGATAACCGTCTAGAAGAACAGTCTCCTATGTAAAAGAGCCATACGACTATGATGGAAGAACTGAAGAATAGCATCCAACTATTTCTTCTCATTGACATACTGACCAAATCATTTATACTTAAACAATTATAGCAAGTGTACACCATGGACGATTATTTATGACTATCATATGTAGGATAGAAATGTCCCGCCCGAGGGTACCGAGTTTAGGGCAAAAACCAAGGCTTGCTGAAGTTTTGGACCCAATTTTGTACACAGGGATGGGACATTTAATTGTGTCCTACATATTTTACATATCATATATTTATATTCTTTAAATCTTTAATTAATTCCACCCTCGGGATTTTCAAATTTGAAAACCCCTCGGGTGGAATTTCCCTATCCTACACCCCTGAGCATGAAAGAGTCTTATAATCTTAAATGTAAGACAATAAAGATGTTCCCGACAAAGGTATCAGTCCTAAAGCTGTTGGAAAGAACTCGTCCTCTCAGAGCTATAGATATACTGGTCATGAAGGGGCACAAAATTTCATCCCTCAAAAGCTCTATAGAGCTTAGGTTATGCATCTTGTCTTATCGTATGTTATTCTCCAACAGGCGTCATTAAAGAGCACACCATTTCTTAGAGGGATCTCTAGTTGTAATCAAACTGTCGGATGACATGAGAGACTTCTGTAAGAAAACCAACTACTTTTACGGGTCTCACTTACGTCAATAGCATACAAGTTCCCAATATAAGACTTCTGAAGAAAATAGACAACCATGGCCATCAACAGAGAAATCCCTATACGTACTACGCATAGGGTATCAAGGATATCTTACCAAAACGGCGCACTTATGTTGGATAGTATAGCATCGGTTACCGCCTCTAGATGTCGTCTCAGAGACTTGGTGAGGTGCGCCAAACTGGTCACAACTCCGCTGGGATTGTTTTCCATATGGGAACACAGGTACGTAATTGTGTCACGACAAATTCCAGGTGTGCAGAGAAAATGAGCCTATTGGGAGCAGAACCATTGAATTTGGCGGATGGAGCGGTCCTAATGCATGGAATTACAGCATAAGTCTTAAGTTCCAACGAATTTTTTTTAATTCATTGACTTATTTTTAGTTTTTTTTCCATATTTTTTGCAGTATTATTGGCTGAATGACAGGGACCTGAGATATGATCATTGGGGGTGTCATTTTTACCGAAAGTCGATCTAAACCCCTAAAACATGTAAAAATTACTCTGAACACCTTAGTTTAGGTCCAGATATAGCTGTAACAAATTCTCAGGTACCTGTTCGCTGAACCATGGATACGGAGTCTATGTTCAATGAGCACACCGGGGTCTGGAGTTGTTCGTGATGCTGGAGATGATGGTCCTCTGGTGATCGGAGTTGAATGAGTTCTGACCTCTTCATCCTAAAGTAGATTGGACCCCAAGGCGGAGCACAGTTTCACGTCTGTTTGTTGATTTAATATAAAGATTGACCATTCATATATCAGATGAAAATGTTATATGCGATAATTTGGCAGACAAGTATATAATGGTTTAATGGGAATTTAACACTAATTATATTGTAACAGGAGAGGAAAAGTGCACGGCCAGACCGGGGTCCGAACCCGGGACCCTCCGCACTCCAGACGGATGCTCTACCAATTGAGCCATCTGGTCGCCGACGATCGACTCAGACCAGTTCCCCTTCATTCCTCCCTCTTTTAACAAATTCTTCGACCCCGGAGATACACAAGACATCACACCACCCTCTGTGGTCATATTTCGGTGGGCGCCAAATGTAACAGGAGAGGAAAAATGCACGGCCAGACCGGGGTCCGAACCCGGGACCCTCCGAACTCCAGACGGATGCTCTACCAATTGAGCAATCTGGTCGCCGACGATCGACCCAGTCCAGTTCCGCTACAATATCACAAATGAATTGATTTTGATGAAATATAATTCGTCATGTAGATTACAATTTTTGTACAGTTTTATCGGTTACATTCGTACAGAGACGTACATATATACTGGCTTTATAAATAAGACACAATGTGCATGGCTTTATATATAATGTGTCATCTGAGGTAAAGGCCTAAATTTAATCGAATATAATCCAGTTTTTAACACTCTAGTTCTACCATATAGTGACCACTTTGCCTGATTACTAGTTATGTCCAATCTGCAAAATGTAATATACGTGTAATATCTGCCTTTTACCGGAACAAATATTATTATTATCATTATCATTATGTCTCTGATTCGTATTAACTTCTGGTTCCGAACAGCGCATAGTTATATCCCGTTCAAAATAAACTGCAAATATGTATGCATGATTTGAAATTAAGCTAAAAAGACCCATATAAGCTCTTAACAAACTTGAGCAAGTCTAATTCGGGGGTCTTTAAATACCTTCACTGATTGGTCAAAATAAATACGACGAACAAATGGGAAGTCGCGTAACATTCGCGCACCTTGTAGTACCAAACGTAACTTTGTCACAAAAGAGTTTCACACGTTGGAACTGTCCGCTACGCTGTCTGCCGCACATCATGAGCAAACAGAAGTTTCTCCTCCGACACCTAGTAAGGATAACTATTTTCAAAAGAGACTCAATTTAAGTTTTATGCATTTTCGAGAAGATTATAATGGGAAAGTACATTGTAACTGTTACGTAATTTGAACAACAGCGTTGAGCACAAACACTAGATAAACTTGATCTGTCAATTACTGCACATGACTGACTGTCTGTCAGGAGTCTGAAATTCCGTGATTAATAATAATGGACTAGTAATATATTTATAAAAAAAACATTATATGAAAATACATTTTATGCATATTTCCGGATCCTGTGATTACTGTTAAGGGAATCGGGGAGAAGCATACTTGGTTTGTTTACATTAATGATATTTCATAAGTACACAAACAATTTGATAATCTAATCTCCTTCACCTGTTCACTGCTGGACCACAGGGTCACGTTACAATCACACATATGCTATACTGATATTGGTCACAACAGTTGACAACACACATAAACATATGTTTATGTGTGTTGTGAGTCGTGACCCATAATATCAGTATAGCATATGTGTGATTGTAACGTGACCCTGTGGCTGGACTGAGTGCCTGTGATGTCTGTGTGTGTCCAGGCCAGCAATTTACACACATGTTAAGATATGTTAGATTTGTACTTACACACATGTAAAGATATATTGGATTTGGCATTAATTTGTAGTGTTATATTAGTGATACAGGAGAAGAGAAATGCACCACCATTTAAACCTGTGACCTTTCAAACTCTAGACGAATACTGTACCAATCGAGCTACCTGGAGCCGGCGATTGACCCAGTCCAGTTCCACTTCCCCCCCTTTTTCTAAGTATTTGTCCCCGTTGACAGTACGATTTAGAAAATCATTTACTACCAAGGTTTGGGTATCCCTCGTCAAGCATTCGATCACCATGAGTGCTTAATTTACACAAGGGTTGGTCTCTGGTACCATATTGTGACAGGAAAACAGAAATGCATGGCTAGACTGGGATTCAAAACCAGAACCCTTCAATCTTTAGAAAGACACATACTCTACCAGTTTAGCAATCTCTTTTTTGGCTATACACCCAGTCCAGTTCCCTGCTACATATAACAAGTACCAACAGCAAGCTCTCAAATACTTATTTTGTAACACTGAAGTACCCATGCATCTGGTAAACCGAAAGTCAATCAATGCCATATCTTCCGTTTGACCCTCAGGTTACCGACATTGTGTTTTAGAAATGAACAATCTAATATTAATGCTATTCAAGTCCTTGGAATCATGCGTGGATATATTATGGGGTACTGTTTGACCTATTTCTTTTAAGTAATATTACTAGAATTATATCATTAGTGTGTTGTATTGATATCACCATCTCAATATAGTGAATGAACAGGTGATATAACT